CAGGAAAGAAGTGAGGAAAAACTGATCAGTTGATAAATTAATTACACTGGCCTATACATGTTTTTGGTGCAGGCCTAATACTTTTCCTTAGCTAATTTTGGGACACTGAATTAAAAAAATCAAGATCATTTTTATTGGTTAGCTCCCCATTTTGCTGTACAGAACTTGAGTTTTTTTCCAATAAAATGACTATTTATAGCCAAATTTCTGATGATGTTCAAACAAATTCTGAATGACATCTGGAAAAAAAACACAAATGTTATTTAATTTCTGATTGCTCAAAAATCTTATTTATATTATGATAATAATAATAATGATGGTGTAATCTTGTTCTAATTTATGAATAAAAACATAAAGTCCTTGGATATAATTACTTTACATAGTTTGCATCAAACATTTGTCAAGCTTGAGTTATATAAGATATGGTATTCTGGAGCAGGAAAGCTAAAGCTATTGGTGGAAATGGGTATTAATTATTCAGCACTCGAAAATTGTTCAAAATTAGACAAAACAGTTCATGCATCATTTCAAAAAGATTTTTGTAGGCCTGTGTAATATATTGAGTAAAATAACAAAAAGAAAATGCAGACCTCCACCCACACATACTCTTTCAATCTCCCTCCCTACCCCACTTTTCCTCTCTTTTTCTTTTATTCACTATTGGCTCATTGAACTGGCATAGTGAAAAATTACAAATATAGTTTTCTTATATAGTATCACATTGTTACAAGATAAGATCTTGCTCTGCTTCGATAAACGGAAGTTACCATCACGAGTCCCCGACTCGAAATGAAAACTGCACGTCTACGCATAGGCTCGATGCAGATACTTCTGTTTGGGATAAATTCAAAAAAAAGAAAAGAATTAAATCAACCAATTGGACCGTCTCCCGCGTATTCAAAAAATTGCCATTTGGAGCCAATAGGCGTGTATAAGTTCAACACGGGAAAGTCAAAAGGCAGTCCCATTCAACGGCGGAGGTGGAAGGGTCACGTCGCTCGCTCCTCACACACTGGCCCGGTGATGAAACGAAGCATGTGACCGCTGCTGCTAATGAACTCTCGTCCGACGCTTTGTCAAAGGGTACCTTTCCCCTTCCATAAGTCAAGTTAACTCCACGAATTTTACTTGCCACTACCATAGACATTCAACTTCTTAAATACGAACCTTTTACTTGTTCTTATTTTCCTCACTAAAAAGACTATAAAATATATTTACAGTCTTTCTTGTTCTTTCGATTCTGAATTTCATTGTTTGCAACCAAACGCAGTATTTCGCCCACATTGTTTTCACATCGCCCATGCATCTAAATACGGAATATAACAACATGAAGCTGGATGTACTGAAAAAAAAAGATAACATTATGAAAGTTTTTTTTGGTGGGGTTCTGTCTGACTTTCTGGCATAAGTAGTGATCCTTATTTACATGATTTATATGCAGACTATTATCCTCATCTTTGAAGCACTTCCTTGGTTTAGGCTGGGGTTAAGAGCAATTTGCTTGGATATTCTGCTGTAGTTTAGGTGAATGACATGGTGTTTTCAATTGGCCTTTTTGAGGATAACAATATCTGGCATGTGGGACATGCAGTGGATACCAAGAATCAATCATGAACAGCATTGTTGGAATTTCTCTTGAGTGTCTAAGTGTCTGTGATACACAACTCATGTCTCACAGGAGTATAGCAGGTACATCAGTACATTTCTTAAGACTTCTCTGAGCAAAAGCATGAGTTATATATATATATATATATATAAAGAGAAAGAGAGAGAGAGAGAAAAAGAGAAGAGACTATTCAAAAAGAGACAAAGTTGAGGCCACTACTTGAGTTTCATGCTATTGCAGTTGTCATATGTTCTGGTTGCCTGATGATCATGGTAGCATGAAACTCAAGTAGTAGTCTGAATTTTGTCTCACTTTGGGTAGCATTACTAGAGAGCATATTTGCTCTGTCTTACTCATTTAGACATAGAGCACAGCTTAGGCAGGTGTCTTTCTTTGATTTTTTTTCTCTTCTCAGTTTATGTTTCCTTTTCCTTTTGTGTTTATTGATTTTGTTTTTTATTTTCTTTGGTGATGTAGCAAGCTTTGTGTTGCTTTTACCACTATTTTGGTTTGCTTTTTATATATATATATATATATATATATATATATATATATATATATATATATATATCATTGCAAATTTTTGTGCCTGATTAGAAAATTAAAAACAAGGAAAATCAGTTAATGGCTGGCTACTCATTTTGGTGCACACATGTTTGCATACTATAGTGACAGGCAACCATAGTTGTTTCCCCCTTGAATAAACTTAAATGTTTGTCTGTTTTTCTTTACATATACATTCATAGATATGTGTGTGTGTGTGTGTGTGCATGTGTATGCAAATAATACTGATATTTATAAAAGTAATAGAATTAACTGAATGACAGGAAGGGAAAGAATTTTTGTTCCTGGAAATTTTGAAATGATTTTGTCTTGTTTGAAAAATTGCTTTTTTCTAGATGTAAGTAAAAAATACATATCCACCAAGCACTTGGATTGCAAATCAATTACTAAATTAAACCAATGTTTTTTTTCTCTTTTAAGTGCCATGCCCCTTCAGAATTTAGGCAATCATGGCTCTTCACATCTTCCTTTTTAATATTTGTAGAATGTGTATTGCATTAATTCTCCCAAGGTAACCTAATAAGTATTGACTTTTTCTTATTAGTGATTTTTTAATAATTAGCCTTACAACTCAGTAGATGGGATGGAGTCACAAACTTTTTATCCTATCTATTGCTTATAACAGTTGAATTAAACCAATAGGTAAATTTCCTATTAGTGTATGTACCATATGCTAACAATAAAATAAAGATCACTGCATGTTATACTCATAATAATAATACAAATAATAAATATTATCAATCTAGAAAGTTTAACATTTTGTATCATTTACAATCTTATTATAATTCTCTTTATCTCTATCTTAGTTAGGACTTACCTATGTTATGCCCTGTTAATACCTCATAAATAATAGACTATTCTGTTTTGATCTTGTGGAAAGATGGAAAAGACATCAGAGACACTACTTGGTTTCAGCAAGAAAATGAAAGAAAGAAAACATAAGGGAAGATAGAAGCGATAATACTCTCATGCGTTTAATGTCTATTTCAATGAAATGGAAAAATTGTCAATTTCAAATTTTTTCATTTGTACCTGCTTTCTCCTTTAAATAATGACCAGTATTCATACTTACGATTGTTATTGCAATATTTTGTTAAAGTTGTTTAGCTCAAATATTTAACGATGTATAGCGGTTGCTATGTTTTTCACACCCACATACACTCCAAGTCATTTTATTCGCCTGCAATTGGCTAATAAATTACTACTACCTTTATATAGGACAATTTAGCCATCACAGTCATTCCTTTGAATCTTTTGGTTCTGAGTATACTTACCTATTCTGTTTAGTACGAATGTAGTGATTGGTTAATTTTTAGCCAATCAAATATTTTTAATGTAAGATCAAGTTTTCCTGCGGTTCCGTGGGAGCCTACCTTTTTTCCTTAAAAAGGGCAACTTTTTGCAAGTCGCCAGTGAGATCCAGTAAGATTTCAGCCGTCAACACAAATCCACGATCTTGCTCAACACACACACAGACACAGACTTTTGTAACTACAAACTTACATTTTCTCTCTGTAACTTTTGCCAAGCACAATCAACCAGAACTTTATTGATTCAACCAATTTATTCACAACACATTTCAAGCAATTGTATTCTTTGTGTCATTCATTCTTCACATGCAAACTATACTCTAACAATTATTTCGGAACATTTATCTCACAAGAGAACTTTCTTCAAACAATTAATTATAATCAATCTACAGTTAAAGGGAAACAACTTCCTTCTCTTTAATCTCTACATTGTGAATACAAAATTATTTCATGCTTGTTGTTGTATTTTATTCAATATATATTTGTTGGTTAACAAATTGGAGTTGTTGTTATTATTACTTGAATCCTGTACGTGGAAGTGTCGCAGTGTGTCCAATCACCACTCCCACCTTTTCTTAAACAATCCCGAATATGCCTGCTGGTAGAGAAAGGTCACGACCCTTGTGTGCTAAAAATAGCAACGACATCCTTTCAAACTGACAGAAACACACAAAACTCAATTTTCGCCACTAAACAAAAATAAAAGACCGAAATTAATTTAAATACAGTCAACAAACACCAAACACACTTTTGACTGTAATTTATACGGCCCGAAATTAATTATATTCATTTACTTATTTAGCGTCACCGCGTCTCTTGTATGAACCGTCATATCTAGATCCCCGAGACTTCACAGCGGCTTTTGGAGCCGGCCAGGGAGCAGGGAGCCTTGCCACATCTTTAGTTATGATTCAGCCTGAGATTCCCAACCTCCCCAGTTTGTTTTTTGACCCCCCACTTTCTATCTCGACTGAGTCAGCTTTATACTTCCCCATGTCCGTATGATTTTTTTATCACCTTTCCCACTCCCTTAGCGAGAGAGCTGCTTGATTTTGTTCCAATGGGCAGAATACAGTGGTCTTCCCTGCATTTTGAGGGTTGGACGGGCCCTACTAACATCAGTTAACGCTTTATTTTCGTTTATGCTAATATTTTTACTTTGTTATTGGGTTCACATCCCACCCCCATCTCATTTTTTCATCTTAGAATTTTTGTACATATGTGTTAGGATCATTATGACATGGGGCGCGTTTTGTAGGTCTCCCTAGAGTGGATGTGGTATTATGGTGCAAGGAGGATTGATTGGTGACGGACGAGTTCTTATGGTGAATGAGTAAATTGTAATGTCTGAATGGGTCGTGAATCAAATTAGCTAGGTATAAGATAGTTAGTGAAGACCAGCCTTACCCCCTCCCCCTTTTCGGCCTTCTGCCACAATTTTGTATTTTTTACAAAATAAATCTCGCCTTCCTGAATCGCGACTTTGACGCACCCAGTCAATATCGGTGGTCACAACCGAGCCCAGCAGCTGAAGGGACCCAGCAGCAGCATTTGTTCAAACAGTCCTTTTCAGGGCTAACTTCTGAAAGTCATTCGATCACCACTCTTCGAGGCTCCACTCACTTCACTCTCTGCTACTGCCTTCCCTCTGAGACGCCAGATCACTCCTGCAGCTCCCAGCACTCCTGCAGCTTCCAGCTTGCTCCTACAGCTTCCAGCTCACCCCTGCAGCTTCCAGCAATCCCCGGCTCACTCCTGCAGCGCTTCACTGACGTCCAGCGACTAGTTCCAACCTCCGGATACCGTTTCCGAACAAACGACCTCTGTCGTCTGTCTATCCACCGCTCGCAAATAAAGACACGATTTCTATCGTCTACAACGGACCATCTGCGTTTGTCATCCTTCTTTGCTATTGCCATCTCCTTGCTTTTTGTGTCCCCTTTTTAGTTGCACGGTCGATTGGCACTCACACCTCTCGGCCCGTTGCAACAGAAGTATCAATATAAACATTGGGCCGCTACAGATGCAATAGGGAAAGTTCTACTGATATTTTATTGTCACAGAACTTGCCATGAGCTTATTCAATCATTAACTTAGAAAATTGAAATTAACATTAAATTTTCAAGTCTATATTGATGAAAGCTCGATTTAATGATTTTTGTAGTAACGAGCTTCACTAACAATAACATTTATGCGTTGATAATTGTTTGAAATCATTTTAAAATTTTTGTTGAAGCATTTCTGGCAGCATTAAACCAAGAAGATGATGAGTGGTATGGAACCTCAGATTTATTTGTCGGTAGTTCGTGGCCTCACCACTACGTCGACAGCTTATCCAGATAAGTTATATTAAGTATCGATGTGTACTGTTTCCATGGTGTCAGGTTTTTTTTATTGCCAAAAGTAGCCTCCCTTGGCCAACCAAAATAAGAACTCTTCTGTATTGTTATGTTTTCTTACTGTGACTTGGAAACGTGAAAGTTGGTTCCACATTTCTCTGTCGACGGAGCATCTCATATTTATTTATATTATCTGAGATCACCCTCCCCTCCTCGGTTATTATTTCTATTATGGTGTCTCTGAAACTACAATGTGTTGTTCCACTGATCTTAATATAAGCAGAGGAGAACTTTAAAAAAAATAATTACAAGCTAAAGGGCCAGAATGGAAACTTAACAAATTTATTGCTTTTTACATGGGAAAAATAAGTTAATAAAAAAGACAACAGACGGACTAACAAAGAAAAGAGATCACAAATTGGGGGATCCGTTTTAGAAGGGATCGAATTTAGGATTTTAAAAAAGAAAATTATAATAAAAAGGTAAGTAGCCAAATTTGAAATCGTTAAGAATGAAGTAGGTATATTTTCTTATTAAAGTAACTGAAAAAAATTCGGTGATTTCAAGTTTATTCGAATTCTCAAAAAATAATTAAAGAATTATTCAGAAAAGAATAAAATAAAATAATTTTTGATAACTAAAATAAGCATTTTAAAATAATAAGGATAAGATTTTTATTTGTCAAAAAAACTAACGGGACTTTAAAAATGTCTGATTTAGGGCGCATTAGAGATCCCTTTTTTGTTTGATTTAGTTGTAAATTAAATCATAATATTATTTTATGGATAATAAATTAAAAATATTACCTAATTTAATTACGAGATCATATTTTTTCACCTTTTTTTTCTATTAGAAAAATTAAAAATATGAATGCGTTTTCTTTTTCTGTGCTCCCCTTTTTTAAGATCGTCAAAACAAAATTCAATGGGAATTTTAAAAAGATCTTGAGCATTGCTCTTCGTGTTACACTGTGGGTTGGGTTCATACAAAGCATCAAAAATTGAAAAGGACAATCTTGTTTGCTATGGATCTGCTAAATATAAAACTTATTTTTAGCAACACGGTGCATGATCCTCGTACATGTTCAAGTACATAAAACTCAGTATTCCTTTAACTTTAACATGAGTCAAACAAAACAACCTTAGACTGGGACCCATTATAAATTCACCTTGATTGTGATAGGTTAATTAGAGAGAGAAAGAGAGAGAGTGTGGTGGAAGAAAACTTTTTTTTTTTTTTTTAAATTACATTTTGTTTACAATTAAAAGAAAATTCTTTCGAAGTAAAATATAAGTAATTTTCTGATTTTTTTCCCATCAGATTCGATTTAAAAATTAATGTATGTTTATTTTTAATTTAAATTTTAAAAGATTTTCTTCAGTGATTTTGACGTTTCCCATCAAACTTTTTTTCTGTTTCATACTGTATCAGTGAATTAAATGTTTTTAGCCAAACTATTTAAAAAGTAACAAAAACAAGTAACCGATAGTCTGCTATTACTTTTTCTTTTCAATGTTTCATAGTAGTTTAGTAGTAAGTAAATGTACAGTACATGTACATAATATTTAAATTATTTTTTTTTCACTTCTTTATCTGATATATTTTAATTTTGGAAATTTGAGTAAATTTAATTAAGTTATTTTTTTACTTTACCTAATTACCAAAATTACCTACTTTTGTTTGTGAGTATTTTCGTTGTCAAATTAAAAAAAAAATCGACAAAAAACACAGCACCAACAATAGCACTGAAAAAAAAAAATTGAAATAATTTGCTTTGTAAAATTAAATATTCGAATTTTTGTATATATCTTTTTTTTAGTCTTATTGAAAAATCAGTCCCCGAGCACACTCGTTCTTTTTCACTTTTTTGTTAAAACTTTAAAAACATTAAAATTAAAATTTCTTTCCGTGGAAAGAAATGACAAGAAATACATTATAGAAAAAAAATAAAATAATTTAAAAATCAAAATTATTTTCAAGGCAGATTTTAAAACTTAAAAAAAAAAATGTTAAAAAAGCTTCTTAGCCCACAATTCGTCGCAATTCAAAAGAAAATACTAGTAAAGAACAATCTTGTTCGCTAAAAAAAGTATGATTTTAATGACAATGCTTCTCTGTGCAACACTGTACAGGGCCAAAAGTAGTATAGTTGTTATTATTGAGGTTTAGGAAGATAGTGTTGCATTAATTTTCCGAGTAGAGATGGCCTGACTACTTGCTTGCCATAAACTCTAAATCAGAACTGTTACATGAACTCGAACACCGACCACTACCAGGGCAAAACAAAGCAATTCTATATACAATAGTTGAAAAGTAGGAATTAATTTTAAAAAATCGTTGATCATTGACTTTAAACGAAAAAAAAAAAAAGTATTAAAATTAAATGGTGGGGCGTTAATAATTGTGATGACGGTGATTTGCATTAAAAAAATTGTTTTACTTAACTACATTTTTCCTTTTTCGAGGGAAATATTATAATTTCGGTTTCATTTCAATTTATTAATTAATTAATTTAATGTAGTGCCCCCCCTTTTTTTAAAATCTTCTCTTGTTCACAAAAAGAAAATGTTTTCTGCTTGTTGAAGTTTTTCATTTGTACAAAAATTTCATGTTTATTTTTAGACTTTTTTTTATCACTGAAGAAGTCTCAAGAGTTTCAATTTCAACAAATAATCAGCAATCATTACCACTTTTTAAAATTTTTTCTTAAATTAGTCTGCTAATGTGTTTCCAACCCTAAATTAATTTCGAGTAATAATTTTTTTTTCTAAATTTTCTCAAAAAATCTTTTATAGAAAGTGCTGTGTGGTTAAATACCGTTTCTTTGTATGGTGGTAGTGAATAATACTCATGCCGGACACTTCTTCATTTTCTCTGAGTGACTAATAATTGCTATTTTTTTTTCCTGTTTCATATTATGGTTACCTTTTTTAAAGCTTCGAGTGCGATTATTTTTTATTTATTTATATTTATTTTCACATTTGTGGAAGGCAAGAAAATAAAACGAATTAATTATTAAAAAGTTTTTTTTTCTTCTTTCTCTAAAATATTCAGTCACATGATCCCTCCACTGGGCAGTTTTTTTATTATTATTTCTTTACTTACTTTTTCTTTTTCAAAGTTTAATTATTAAAAAAATACACTTTACTTTTCCTTCTCTATGGTTTTAAAAAAGAAAAAAACACAATTGTAAACAGTAAAAGTGAGCGTATTCTGGATTTTCCAATTTAAATGTGATTTTAAAATTTAAAAACTGTTTTCTGCATTGAAAAGTGACGTTGATACTGCCCAAAGTTTTGACTTTTGAATAAGACATAATTTACAACTGTAAGACACTGTTAAAAAAAAAAATCATTCTTTGTCCACATTTCAGGCGGGTGATGGGTGGAGGGCATTTCACTTCAGATATTTTTTTTTTTTTTTTAATAAATATTGGTATTTTCTTCAAATCTTTATTACTTGAACTTTATTTTTATTTTTAAGCAATTTAATTAAATGTTAAGTTGTATTCTCAGAGATTATTTTATGAGTCCATGACTCATGACTCCAACGTTTTTTTTTGTGAAGTATTAGTTATCAAGTTTATTTTTCAGAGCATTAGAGTTCGATTCTCACGTGGCACCACGCACTTGTGGCCTTGTTTTGTTGACTAAGCTAAAAATTAAAAATACATGTTCTTTATTTAAAAAGCATACACTACTACACAATCTAACTAAATACGTAGTTCAATGTTTTACTTTATAAAGTTTTAAAAAGTAAACCATTCAAATTCTTAAATAAAAATTCAGCAGCACAAATCCATTATTATTATTATTATTTTTTTTTTTTTTACTTTTGTTTGTTTTTATAAATTATATAAATAAAATTTCGTTAAACAAATAAAAATAATAATGGATTTGAATTTTCTTTTTGTTATAGAATGTGCACTTCCATAATAATTATTTTCTATTTTTTGTGTTTCAAACAACATGTGTTAAAAGAAGAAATGCAACTTTTCAACACCTGTTTTGCCTTTGTGTAGGTAGATACTTCTATTTTAATAATTGTAAAAAGTGAACTTTTAACATTTTTTCAATATTCCATTGTAGTAAAAATGTGAGAAAAATACAGGTTTTTAAATGTCTTTCTTACAATATGAAGCAAAGTAAAAAGTAATCTATATCGATTTCTTTCCTCCCACCCATTTTTTCTCATGAATCGTTTTTACTTTCACTTTCCTCTTTCCCATTGTTATGCTGTTTCTGTATATAAAAACTATCATTTTTTTCAAAGTGATAATTCATACACACACAAAAGCATATTATATGCACACATTTCCTGCGATTTTTTTTTTTTTTTTTTTTTTTTTTTTTTTTAAACCTACATGTGCATATTTGTGAGGAAAGCAAAAACGAAACTAGACATGTCTTGTCTATAACACGTGTTTTCTTGCCATGGTCAATATTCATTTTATCGTTTAAATTACCAACATTTTTTTTTTTTTTTTTAGAAATGATAGTTTCATTTTTTGTCACGCTTCATATTGCAATCCGGTACAATAAAACTGCTTTTTCATCAAAATCATATAAAACACATTAAATAGACAAATATGAATTTAAAAAGTGATGGCTTCACTACCGAGCACACGATCTTGGAGGCAAACGGTGACTTGAAAAGAATAATAATAATAAGCAGTTGAATAATGGAATAAGAAGCCTTATTGACTAATATTGTTTTATTTGCTAAACAGAGATATCTTATTTAAATTTTATACTTTAATGATTTTTTACTAATCTTCTAATTTTGTCAAAAAAAAAAAAAAAAAAAATTAACCAGGTTGCATAGGGAAGGCTAAGAATTACCACCCACCAACTGCAGGTCCCAAGTAGTTGAGTTAGGGGGAGGAGACAAGTCTAGACACATAAAAAAGGAATAGATGACATGAAATTCTTGACATGAGGAAGAGGAGACAGCAAACAATACTAAGGCATGGCATAGAATATAGGACATTGCACAAAGAAATATAGGAACACATGCAAACAGGCAAAAGAGAATGTCTCAAATAAAAGTGCACAAAAATAGAAAGAATGAGTATTACGTATTATGAAGAGAATCATAAAAAAATAAGGGAACTAACAGGACAAAGGACATGTTCATTAAGAGGATGCATAAAATTCAAAACAGGACACTGATATTAGAAAAAGAAAAATTACTTCAGCTATAGAATGAATGCATTGCAGGACCAAAGAGAATTCTAATAAAGATGGTGGCAACTTTCAATGCTTTCAGCGCTGAAAAATTATAGACATAATAAAGGAAATTTCCAACAATGGTGTTATACCAGAATACAAACTCTATCAGACAATCAGTCTAATGAGGCATATAATAAAACTCATCCAAATTTTGATGAATAGAGCATCCAGTAGAATTAGACCAGAAATAGGACAAGAACAGTTGAAGTCACTGGAACAAAGAATGCAATATTTATGCTCAGAAAGATATC